TTTTTTTTCAGAAGAACAAGAGGCAGCTTCTGCTGAAGTGACACCGCAAAAACCTGAAGATAGAAAAGGCAAGAAGGCAAAAAGACGAGCTAAGAAGAAAATGGTATGGGACGAGGAAAATGATTTGGAAGCAGGAGATGAAGATGAGGTTCTGAAAGAAGAAGAGGCGAAAACGTAAGAAAAACGTTAACGTCTTAAACTATTTTCCAGTGTTTTCTAGTCTGTCGTTGGTTATATCCGCTTTGGACACAAATGAAGACATGGTCATTTCTCTATAAGCAAAGAAAAAACATGCGCAGGAGAGTCTTTAGGGAAAAAGCTGGGCTTGTGCATGCTCGATTTACAATGAGGTTTTGTAGAAGTGCTGATGCAGAGATAGAGAATGGACTGAGCGAGAAGTTAACAGAAGCTTTGGTGGTAGGTGAGAACGGTTCTTCTGACAATGAGGGCAATGTCTTCCTGGCAGCGGCAAAGCAGGCTGAGAAGAAAAAGCGGAGAGGTGAGCAGTGTACTGTCCAGACGTGATTACAGTCAAGCACTCTTTTCCTCTCCCGCAATCTCAGTTTTTCATAACACCATTGTTTCAGCAGAAAAGAAAAATCCCGATCCTTCAACTAAACCTGTGAGTGCTCCCATAGACACTGGTCCGAAGGAAAGCGCATGCCATAAATGCAAGGAAGTTTTCGAGAGTCGAACGAAATTGTTTGATCATCTGAAGCTCACCGGCCATGCGACAATCAAAAAGCCTCAGCCTCCGCCGAAGAACAAAAAAGGCAGGCGGAATTGAGATTGCCGTAGTTTTTCATCAATTTTACATACTTGTGGCCTTAGTTGTTACTAGTAATCTGTTGCCTTGGATTTTCTTAGGAAATTTTTATGGATGGATTCTCGTTATGTTGTTTCTTGTTGAATCATATATAACTTAAGGGTTTGTAGAGTATGTTTGAAATTTTCCACTCAGACTATCAAGAAACTCTGTTACCTTTCATTTCATGATCCAGTATTGGTGCTCGGTTTACCAACTAGTCATCACAGTAGTGTGACCGTTGTTGTATAACAAACTAATCAGCCTTCTCCATCAATGAAGCCCATCTTCTTAAGTAGATAAAACGTCTGATTTAAATCCTTATTTATCTTGAAGATACATGGCTTCAAAGCTTCTGCGCTCAGTATCTCAAAGTGTGAGGTCCTCTGATTTCTATAGGATCAGGTTTGAGTAATCAAAGAGGACTCGTGTTTGATTGTTGCATTAGGAACTGTTTGCACGACTAAAGTAATACTGCAAAACCGGAAGCTTTTACACATTTGTTTGATTGGAAAGATTCGGTAGATGAAATACGTTTGTTAAACTAATATTGAATAGAGAGAGCTATTGTTTTGACGTTTATGTTTGAACTTCAAGTAACCTGTGCTGTGATAAGAACCTGTACACAATTTAATAATTGACTGGTCTTTATTCAATTTCAAAGAAATTGTGGAACTTCAAATTGTGAGGTGTGCCTGGAATTCTCGTTCGATTATTCAGTATTTATGGCCTTTGTCTACTATCCAGAATAAAAGTATTGTTTCCGTTTTATTTGTCTATCGCTTAGCTTCTAAAAGCTGCTGTTGGATGTAGAAAGGAAAGGATTATTAGAATAAGAACCAATACTACACAGAACACGGAAAGGTTCAGTACAAATAGTGCAGGAAGAAACTCAACTTGGCTTACTCATGTAAACAAAAAGCAAAAACACTAATGCACATCGATTGCTTCGAAAAAGCTTGGATAAAACTCACACCATTATACCTACACCTGTATATGGGTTTTCGAACTCCAGCAATTTGTCCTGACCAAGGGCTGCCTTAATATCTGTTCAGTCGGTTGGTTGATACCAGCCTCGTTTGGAATGGTAAAACACTATCTCGCACACCAGATACACATTTTAACGTTACAACGATTCTGAGTGGAAGTCGAACACATGCGCGCATTCCGAAACTTGTGTGAACAATCGAAAATTCTTAAATTTTCACACAAGTTTCGGAGTTCTTTATCAACTATCTCAATAAATCTAACATCCAAAATTATGAAGGTAGGAATAATGTGAGGTGATATTAAACTCCAACTTACTTGATATACAACTATTGTTGAGATTCTTCATCTAGAACTACCCCATTCACCTTTGAAGATTGCCTCTTCTCGCCATCTGAAGACGAGTTTAACTACGCGGAAACTTTTGCTTTATGTCGTGGAATACGACAAATGGTCTAGGTCAAGAGTAGTTACGAAAATTCTGTGCAGTTGCAAAGTCATAGCATAATTCTGTTATTACTTCTTACTGTTTTGAGTGCAAAATAACTAATTTTACTGCAATAGTGACTTATTTATTCCCAGGAAATAGTCTAGGCAATTGTGATAATGTGGGAAGAGTTTTAGATTTGAAATCAATACAAAGCCCGAATTGATTTGTGCATTCGTTCCATTAGCCCGCCCAGATAGTTTATATTTCGAATCTTACCCTTCAAGCAATTTCTCTACCAGGCCTTAATCAAAACGCTCACACTCGTTTTTATGTACATGCAAACAGCTGGTAACAAAAGCGGCGAATATGTTTGCCATTAAAAACCACCCACACTGTTTTGGGACCTTCAACTGGGAACAGTATAGTCAATCGCTTCTGATGTTACTAGACTAAACAGCAATAGTCCGTTTCATTGGAAGATCGTTAGAAGAGAACCTTCGAGACAGTAAATGTTTCCTGTGGAGATTCCCTGAAATAGAGTTCTATAATCTCCTCTAGATTTACAACAAATAAATTTAAAAAGCACTAAAATGTCAATAGATTTCACCGTCATACATCATCCTGCTTTTAGGAGTGGAATTTTTGTTAGGATGCTTTCAGAATTAAGCGACATGCATTCTTTCAACCGACCGGCCCACTGTCCCACGCCGTTGTTGGCTACGTATTGGCAACGCTGGACACTGATCGGTCCCGCCCACGCGGCCCTGAACGCAATCTGTTCTGAGTTGTCAACGTGTGGCCAGCAACGCAACGCGGTCGTTAGGTCGCTTGAAACAACGCACGTCGTCAAACTCTGAAAGCTACCAAAAAGGCCGCAGCCATACTTTATCTCGGTGAGGGGCCACAGACATACGGGAGCTATTTTGGTGAGCTGCAAACGCTGATCGCAAACATCTTCAAATATTTTTCCTCTTTTATACGAATTTACTCGTGTGATAAATAAATAAATACATAAATAACTGTATTCCATCTATATAATGGAAATGTAGTTGCAGCGGGCCATTCCGAGCCCTGATGTCCTCTGCGTCTCTAACATTAAGGGATGGAGCGCAGAGAAGGATGAGGCGCCACTTTTCCAGGCCATTTGCGGCGCTTGGGAGTAATGTATGGGTGGAAGACTAGAGTTTCTGCCCAAGTCAGTGCTGGGAAGGAACGGTAGAGTGGATTAGATGCTAACCCTATGCAAAAATCTGGATGGGGAAAGGAGTTGATCAACAGTACCCTAACTCGCAGAGAGGGTGCAGACAAGGGAGAGAAAATGCGCGCTGTCGCCAACCACATTCTCAGGGGGTATAAATAGCCACTCGAATAGTGGTCCTGGATGTCAGTTTTCTCTCAAATTGTCATCATTTTCTTGCACTCTGTCTCAGCTTGTTTCTTTCATCGAGTTTCTCGAAGCACAGAAAAGAGGGGTCTCAACCTCTACTGGGTGCTTTCGGATTTCAACGACGTGTGTTGTTTCAACCAACGTGCGACCGACCGACTAGTCTATTGCTAGCCACGTGTCGACAACGCTGGACATCGATCGATACCGCTCACCTGGCCCCGAACGCAAACGTTGCTGCGTTGTCATCACGTGGCCAGCAACGCCATCGGGTGCGACCGCAGCTATTTTTCTGCCCTCGTCTGTCGCATTACGTCTATGGCTGCTTTCATACGACGTGCGTGCCGGCACGCAGGTGGAAACGCAGGTACAATCTTGCAAGCGGCGTGCGAGCGGCTATGCGGCGGCAGTGCTATCCAAGTGTGTGACAGCAGTGGCACGTGATCCATCGGCGTCTAATATTGTCAACACCTCTCTAGCGCCGCCGTCGCATAGCCGTTCACACGCCGCACGCAAGATTGTACCTGCGTTTCCACCTGCGTGACGGCACGCATGTCGAAGTATGAAAGCAGCCTACTACAGTATTTAACGGCTGTGCTTGTCTGCCAATGGGATCCCCACCGCCACCCTCGTGTGGAAGGCGGTCGTTTGGCGCGATCCCTCCCATCGCACCGCCCATTCTAAGCGGTTTACGAGCTGGACAACTCGTCCATGTGACCAAGCAACCCACTGCCCATCCAGCGATAGAAGCCCGATTTATTACGCCGTTACTATTCGACGCCGATTGCGGACCTGCTTGTATTCTGGCTATCAGCGTGGCGTCATCCATCGGCCTTCTATCAGATGGATGGGTAGTGGGTTGCTTGATCACCTGGACGAGTTGTCCAGCTAGCAAACCGCGTCGAATGGGCGGCGCGATGAAAGGGATGTGCCAAACGACATACACCTCCCCCCCCGTGTACTTCATCCAGGATATTTTTCTCTGCGCTCTGACCTTTTACTGTCAGAGACGCAGAGAAAGTTAAAGTAGTCACGTGATCGTTGTTCGAACGTCGATTAAAATAACGCACGTCGTTGAAGTCTGAAAGCGCCCATTCGGTAGAGGTCTAGGTCTTTTGTGGACTGAGCAGATACTGCCTTAAGACTCGCAAAAGTGGAAATCGGTCTGTGTTGCTTTCGATGTTGTTCCAATCCTAGTAGTCGTAAAAAAGATAGTCGCAAAAGAGGTAAGGACAGCATTTGAACGTCTTGCAACTCAGGCTTGTTTTGGTAAACATTCTGTTATTGAAGCTTGAGCTATAGAAATTTGGGCATGAACTGATCTTCGTTAATATTGGGCAGCAGGTTTATTTTTCAGTAGAGACAGCTGGCAAGAAATGAGTTAGTGTCTTGCTTAAGACCACCTACACTGATCCAAAGCTGTCAACTACAATTGATATTCGCTTCAATTTGACGTTGCCATAGTCATCATCAGAAGTCGGCATCACTGAAGCTATTAGCACAGTAAACAGTAATCGCCCCTGTCGTTATCTGTGCCCTATGGTGATACTCATTCTCTAGGGGAATACCAAAGGCATTGACCTGATCGTTCGATTCGTGCCTTCATACGTAACCTCTGAGGTCACTTCGTGATCGTCTCCTTCTGGACTCTCCAAAAAACTTTTTACATATTCAGGTGTTTAGGCAGATGCATCGCTGTGAATAAAGCAGCGACCATTCTTTAACAAATAATCTAGTTTTCTTTTCTATTTGTTTGCTTGTTCAAGCAGTATGAATTCGCCGATAGCTTAAGCCATCTATTGTTTTGGTGCGTAATTTTTCTGACTAGCAAGTTCTACTAGAAGTTCTAGGAAGTGTAAATCGACTTTGTTTCCCTGATGATAATAGTAAATAAGTTCTTATTTGAGAGTCAAATCGATAAAATCTGGAATAGAATGGGGTATGTAGTGAATTTATGCACCAGAATAATATAATTTTCACACTCCGTTTTGAAATAAAAAGCCCGCTACTTCTCCCTCTTCATTATTCGCAACTTTCTTTGAATTTTTGTAAAGCTTCCTTATACTCTTCTCAGAACGCGTTGACTTATTTTTCCCTAACCAATCTTGTTTTTGTCGAAATCGGTGGACCAGGAATCCAGTGGGGAATCTGGTTCCTACAGTAGTCTCACGGTGGGATAAA